TTATATTGCTAGTCGGCAAAATTTCTTTAACTTCAAACTAATTATTTCACAATTTAAAATCTAAATTAAATTGCAAAAAATACCAATTGATCACTGATCAAAATCGAAAACCTCGTTTATCGTGAACAAATTATCGCAAATCAATTAATCAATATCGATCGTGAATATCAAAACGTAAAACTACTAATTTCCCTGAATCATAAGATGATATCAAGTAGGCACTATACCTTAGAGAGAGACGTGTTGATTGGGTCACAAAATGGCACAGACTGTCCGGCGGCGCCCGGTCCCAGTGGTTTTGTTGCACGTCTGGGCCGGTCATGCGCAGAAACCAGTTTTGGCAGTCCGACTCGGCCTCGGCGGCGGCTACATCGGTGCTCGCGCTAACTACTTGAGCCTCGCCTCGCCATGCTTAACCTCAAAATCGTTGATCGTTCGTACTACTATGATGATCCTCAAGTAAAAACATTTTTGTCTTCCGATTTCAGCCGTGATATGATAAAAAAAGGTGAGGTGTAAAAAATCAACCCTTACAACACTCATCTTTATTCGTACTTGTCTTAAAATACCTACTTTAGTATGGTCGCGATTTCAGATAAAAGTATAAAAAGTATTATAAATAAAAGTTAAAAGTAAAACTATTCTAATTAAATTACTTAAATATTAATACAGTTTCTTGTTTGAACAAAACCTGAGCGAAATGTTTCGATGTGTAACTTCAAATACTATTCTCTATCTCATTTAACAGTTGAAATAACATCCTTATAAAGCTAGTTTTCTTTATTGTAGATTGAGCGAACAACGATTAACACACCTTTCATATGATCTATGTTTTGCACGGGTATTTCATTGGCAGCAAACGTCGATCATTGATTGACGTCTGCAAAGCTGATGATCACGTATGGTTGTATATGGCCACATATTACCTTTTCTGAGTGATCAGGTTGATGCTTCATTAGCTTATCGTGATTGGCATGGGGGATCATGTTTATTGATGCTAGGGAATGAATGTATCACAAAGCTATGATTGGCATAACTCTGTTCGATTATAGATTTGTTCTCTAGTACTAACGAGAATCTACACTATTTGTATAAATAATTACTTTTAGAAAACAGTTGGGAAACCTTGGGCTTTGTCATATGGAATAAGTGAGAGAGAACATATTATATTTTCTTGTACGTGCCTATTGCAATCTGGGTTATCATTCATTTACTGAACTTAAATAATATATTTAATGTGAATATCAACTTTTAAACATTCAAACTACAATTCTGAAGCTGTTCACAACGCAGTGCGTAGTTTGTTAATATTCGAGGGAATCCCGTTTTGTATACGATTACTGAAAGATGACCAAACATTTTTAGTGGTCTTTGAATACAGTATATAGTACACTACTTTATTTACAGTAGGTTAATGTTTGTTTTAATGTATCTGATTTTAAGTGTTAGGTACCCCTTTAAACAAGTAGTCTCGCATGTTTACAGTAAACGATGTAATAAACAATATTCTCGTTGAATAAATCGTTCAAACCTTTTCTATATTTGCTTGATTTTCCAGACAATTTGTTTGTAAAGCAGTGAGTGTAGAGTGGTGAGTGGTGAGTGGTGAGTGGTGAGTGGTGAGTGTAGAGTGTTCTCCACACTAATGGGGGTTGTGTGTACACATGATGTGAAGATATTGTTTGCGGTGCCATTGATATTGAGGGCGGTGGGTCATGGGCTACAAAACTGTCCCTACATTAATGGAGGCCGAGTACGGTAGGTGTGGAGCTACTGTATGTGAGTTATGTTAGTCAAGGTATGTGAATAAAATCCTATCTGTTGTATTTTTTTTTACAAAAAATATTTAGCAAGGTAGTCTCAATTCACAACGCCTTTAATGCGCTTGCTTGGTAATTTATATATTACTATTTATTGTATACAAGACTAAATTAGCTTAATTTTGCTCTCAATTGTATTAAATAGCGGCTCTTTAAAGTTCAACAGCTCTACAATTAAACAACTTTACGTTGGCCTTACTATTATAAGCCCTGGGATTAATATGAGTATAACAAAATTAGTATTTCGAAAATAATTATTCCACTGAATTAGTATGATCATTATCATACAAAATGTGTATATCCAATGTGTAATCTTGTATAAAGATTTATTGTATTTCGTTACTTAAAGTCATTCTCATTCAAATGGTTATGTTCATATTCCATGGATTATTCACAAATATTTCCTGGCTATAAAATAAGACGTGCCATATTACACACAATTGACAGATTAATTTTCCTCACAAACTATGTATTACTTTCAATTTATCAATACAACACCATGAATTTAGCAAGACTACATTAAAAGCCAAAAGTTTGTATGATCAAACTTGCGTGTTATGAGAATCAGTTTTAGATACAGTCTAATTCAGCTCAATTTGCACAGACGGCCACAGATAATAGGATTAATACATATTATTTTTACCAGTCATCTGTTACGTAAAAAGAAACGCAGTTTATGAAGTAAATCATACTTTTAAATCCAGGAAAATGTTTATGTAAGATGACGCAGCATCTAGGTCACAATAAACTTATAATTAGAAGGTAGAGGTTGTCGCAGTCACGTCATCAACGTAGAGTGGGTGTTACTTAGTGATCATCATGAAGCTCAGTAGCAACAACATGGATCTAACGAGGTTTTGATCAACACCGACCAAGGACCAATGGCTCCATGTGTCGACACGAACACGTCATATAAATTGGTTAACTATGGTGTATAATCTCATGCAGAACGGATAGATTAGCACAGCTATACCATTGTAGTTGTGCAAACCTAACTGGAATTGCTACGGCCACTCCATACAGCTGAGTTTGCCCAACTCATTGCTAGGTTTACCAACAATCAGTGGTGTAAATTATGTTGAGGGGAGTGGATGAAGGGGATTGTTGAGACAGGTTAGGTAGAGACAGGTTAGGTAAATCATTAGTGTTCGTTGTAATGACATACAATCACCGACATTATTATGTAACCAATGTAGTTAAGATCGCGTGTGACTAATTGTTAAGCGATGTGACAATTTATATGCAAATCAACGAAATAATTGGAATTTTTATCGATATTGTTGTAGACGTTTCTATTATAACACAAGTTTTCATCAAAACTTTATTTTGTGCTTCGTGGGCATACACTATTTTGTTGGAAACACAGTTTTCAACTTTGTCGAAGAAGTTTTATCGTTTATATTGAACATTAAACATTGCCAGCGTTGAGTTGGAAAAAACGGTTAATTTTTCAAACAAACCTTTTTTTCTACTATTTAGTGCAATTGTTATGACAATAATTCTCAAGCTCACCGAACTAGGCCAGAGGTTATCAAGGATAAGAGGGTGTGTTCAGGATAGGGCATGTTAACGTGAGAAGATTCACTGACGAAAAGTCTTTTACGGGGCAGGTTATTATATTACCGAATTTCCTATATAGGGAATAAGCTATTATTGTAGTACTCATGGTAAGACCTGGACCCGGGATCGATTTAATTTTTCGTTTTGATGTCCCTAGAGGCCAAAAACACCATCGTGTCCGTTGGCGCGATAACTCGAGCAAAAATGGTCCGATTTCAATTAAATTTGGTACAAACGTGTAAACCTACATTTATTCGAAAAACAGAAAGTAAATAAAGATACGTCTTATAACACTTAAAACATATATTTACGCTTATACTGTTACTCACAAGACGGTAAATATACAAAAGATGATAAGTACAAAATGTGATGATGATTGGAGTGTCCAATCGAAATCGATCACCACTTACCGTCTTTTGTATATTTACCGTCTTGTGAGTAACAGTATAAGCGTAAATATATGTTTTAAGTGTTATAAGACGTATCTTTATTTACTTTCCGTACATTTAATAACACGTACAATGCTGATCAAGAAGTTATTTATTCGAACGAGTTCGCGAACCAGCATAATCGGACCATGGGAACGGGGTTTATGGGGGGTTTTATGGGATAAAAATGGGGTTTTCCCATTTATGACACTGAAAAAAAATGCAATTTATTTTTAAACCGTTTAGGAAAGCTTAAAAAAAGAAATAATTTTGTATATGCCTAACGGTCACGGAGAAAATTCAAAAATAGTGTAATTTAAAATTCTTATGGAGAAAATGAAAACTTTTGTAGTTTACTTGTTTATGGGTATATATTAATAAAATTTGGAAAATTTATTTATTTCATACTATACTATTGACGTATGGTCAAAAAACACTCTTTACCTTCCCCGTAGCAGCAAACCTAAGCACTCGTAAAAATCTAATGTTATTTAAATTGGGAATAAATATGTCTTATTTATGGAAATATTTTAGTAAAAATGTAATCAGACAAATTGAAATTCGCTTAAGCTGCAGGTTTGCTGCGGCGGGGTATTTTCCCCATTTAAAGTGATTAAATTATTTATTTTATACAGCAAGATTGTATTGAGAAAAATATCATTTCATTTATGAATTATTTTATTTGCGTACTCACTGATAGGAAAGATTCGGCGAAGTATATATAATTGGTTTAGATGTGGTTGGAAGTATTCGGATTTAATGCGGATTTAGCTGTAGAACCTAACATTTGAAAGATAACTCAACAGTGATTAATTACAATGAGTGATTCCCTAAAGGTTTGATGGACGGTTATTTCTGTTTTTAAAACAATATGTTTAACAAGGATCCTAATGGCTAATAATGTAAACCATTACATTGAATTGCATTTAATCTGGGCTGAATAAATATTGTACTCGTATATAATTAACAAATATAAGCTAACATCTCATAGATTTTGTATCGTAATTAAGAGCAGTACCACTGTTGACATGTTATGATATAGTGTTAAAATAAGGAATTAACACCTCAATTCTTAAGGAGTTTCCATACAACACAAAAAAGCTTTACTTCTCACCACAACTATTTTTAATGATAACAATATCAAAACATGCAATAGGTACGTTGTTTGACGTATTGAGTGTCAATGACTGACCTCATTGACTCCTCGGACGATGGCCCTCATGGTGGCGTTCCTAGGCCCATCCACGGTCTTGCCGTCGTCTGTGGGGCCCCATGAGGCGCTGTAGATGTCTATGAGGTTGGGCTCGTGTCCCATCGAGTTGGCCTCTATCAGATCAGTCATGTATGGCTGGTCCAGCATGCGAATGCCTGTAAAACATAACACCAACTTGGTCAAACAAACCTACAATCGACAATTACAGTTCTGTATAACTGACGAGCAATTTACAATGCAGGACATAACCTATTGCAGTAGGTCTCATAGTATGGATTAGGTCTCACCTGGGCCCAGGATGACCTGGCCCCGGGACCGTTTTACCTTTTAGTTTTTATGTCCACAGAGCATAAAACACAATCCGTTCAAATTCCTACATAGGCTATATAATTAAATATTATACGTTTATAGTTAGTGAATAAAATGAATTTTAAAGGTTACTGGTGGTTTATTAATATGTTAAACATTGCTTATTTAACCACCTAAGGACCGAAAAGAAAACGTAGGTATAATGATTCTTATTGTGTAAAAACAAACAAATTCAACTTCAACTTCAAATTCTTTTTTAATATTTGAGCTAAAATACGCCCAGTTGAAATTCGTATTTTAAAACCGATAGATTTTGTTTTAATGAAAATGCAAACCTATCAGATGAGCATTCTAAATTTTAAATTTCAATAGAAAAAAGGGGTTTTCGTTTTTATTCGTATAATAATTGTTGAAAACAAATGGCATACTCAAGTTCCAAGACTTGAATTGAAAATCTAAAGCCAGTTTGCAAGTCTGCACACCCAGTTGCATATTTAGATGTATAATATGTGGGAATAAATTCTAAAACAAACTAGCCTTATCAAGAACAAACTTTCAATGTAGCGTATTAAATAATCCCATGGGTCCGAAATGTAAAGATTTATCAAATATATACTGTAGATAAATTTAAGTAAAAAGCAAATCAGGAAAATGGAAACTCGCTTAGTTTGTAGGTTTGCTGTGGTTGGGGCATTGATGTCCATCTATAAAAGGTTTTGCAAAACTTTCCGTGTATTAATTATTACTAGAGGTCGTCCAGTGGTCGAAACTCGACCAAAAATATTTAATGTACAGACTTCTTTATTTTCATTCCACACTTTGAATAGAACATGTGATTGGAGTTTCTTCCATTTGTTTTGATTTTCTGTTTATATTTCGTTGTTATTTCGTCACCAGCATGACAACTCATAATATCCATGTTAAATTTTTCAAAATTCTAAATTCATTTTTTGTGCTTATTTTTGAGCCTATTTTAATTTATAAAGGGATTCTGCACACCTACAGGAAAATAGCTTTCTAACAGTATGCGTAGATTTTCCCTACGATGCACACGAGCTGAGAAAAAAGGTTTTAAAGAAACATGCTTGCCTATTAATATATAGATAGATAAAAGTATATCGAAGGATTGCTTTTATTAGACCACAACACAACTGATGTTGCCACATATCATACATATCCCATACACAAATACTAGGATTAAACTGCATTTAATACCACTTCAATATCTCGCTTGAAATATAAAACTCCCACACAATATCCAGATACTATTATTTTATAGGTATTATTTGAGTCGATGATTCAAAATAAAAAGAGCCTTCACTAATAATACGATTGACTTCCTACACATTTAATTTCATAAATGATAGGCTTACTACTAATGATACTGTTAAAGAACATTATTGTTTCTTGTTTTATGCCATATTTAAGATGGAAATGTGTATATGGCTTCATTTAAACGCATTCGCTTTATTTAAGAGAAAATAATTAATTCGTTTTTTTGATAATGTATTTCATCAAAACGGAGCATTGATTGAACAGGGACCACTAACAGCATTTGCACTTTTCAGGACGTGTAAAAACCACTCCACTTTTATTATAAAGCTGTCTTGTAAGTTATTTTTAAGTTCTCTTAAGAAGCAGGTTAAAGATTGGTTAGCAGTTCCGTAAATCCGTTGCCACAAATACATATTATATAAATACTAACTCTTTACTCACTGTGCTCAACAAATAACTATGTATTTACTAGTGATGTCTTTTAACATTTAATAGTTTAGTAGCATCTTACAACATCAGTAGAAAATCAACAGTTCCACAGATAAACTGTTTGCACACTTGACGTCTATCAAGAGATGTTGTTTATTTTGACTTTGTTTTGTTCTGCTCCCTTCCTTATATAGTTTGTGTTTTGTATACAAATATATTTTTGAGAAAAGTGTAATGTAGTATCTCTGAACGATTTTGTTATAGGTGTTTACTTTAAAGTATTACCTTGGATTAAAGACTCATTTTAATCGTTAGTATTACTTACTGCATTTAATTAATTATCAATTCATTGTTATATTTTTCTTTACTCGTATTTAAATTTGAAAAATACGTATATGTGATTTCACCGTGGCATAGCTTTTAAATAATTAATTTTGGTAACTCGAAAAATTGTATATTTTTTATATTGTAATGATGGTTATAAATTGGTTCAATTACAAATCTACATTAATATGACAATTTTATTTAGTATTTATTCCAATCAAACGCTAAACTTATTTTTTTTATTTATTGTTCTTTTAGAGATATTTTGACAATCTCTGCATTTCAAGAGAGTTTAACATTGGACCATTTATTGCCCATTTATTGGACCATTAAGAGTCAAGTGTCTCTTAGTGCAGTTGAACAATAATTATGGGTTCAAAACCCTTTATAGCTTCATTTTCAAGACATGGACCTGGAAATTATAGGAGCTCTCAATATAAAACTAAGCTATTTTTGTAACTACGATGTTTCAACTACAACAATAGCCGTACTTGAATGAAAATTAAATTAGGTCTAAATCAAAAGTTTATACAAAATGTGTCATGTTTCGGAGACCATCTCTAATAACTTGGTTGCTAAGAGACGTGACAGACGGCTGTGTCCGAGGCCTGTCTGTGAGATTGGCAGGTGTTATTACACCACCTGTTACACGACGATATGGGTCATCAGACCTCAACACTTGACAACCTAATTTCCTGGTCTCATCAATACAGAATTTCAACATCTTCAATGTACAATACGAAAGCTTAAAATTAAAAAGAGTTGTTATTTTTAAGGAAGTATCACGCAGCTTACTGCAAGTATAATTATAACTCGTTAACATTATCAGAAAGTCTACTACCTCTAAAGTTTTAGGGGTTTCGAATGTTTTTTGTAGCGTAGAATGGTAATAAATTCTAAAGTAAAAACCAAACTAAATTGGTTTAAATAAAACTTCAAAGAAAATTATTACTGAAATTGAAAGTATTCGACAAAATCAGCCGTAAAATTTAAGTCCATACTTATTGTTCTGTTAATCATATTTTACTAAGTTATGTCTGTATTTCATGTTTATTTCAGTAAACAAATTTGTAGATTTGAAAATATTAATGAGTTTGTAATCCTACCAAACATAAACAAAAGGATTAGTACTGATATTTCTGGCTAAACAGAAGGAAGTTTCTCTTATGACACACAAAGCGAATAGTTTGAGGCGATCAGACAAAGCAAGATAAACAAGTATCTCTTTTATTTCACTTGTTTTCGACATGGTTATGAAAGATAAGAATGGCATTTTAGATTTACTCTCTAAGAATAAATCCTACGAAGAATACAGTTTAGAACACAATCACTGTGTAATTGAGCTGCACAGGAGTGGGCGTGTTTTAATTGATACTTGACTGACCTGCAATTTTAGACTCGTAGGCGACGCCGACGCCACAGACGCCGTTGTCCCGCGCCGCCGCCACCTCGCCCGCACATCTGGTGCCGTGGCTGTGACATCACAACAAGACATCAGTCACATCAACTAAGCTACACATATTGGGTAGAAAAAAGTCCCAGGAAATACAAATATTTGAAACAGTAATCAAGAGTAATGGAGCTTCAAAACTTGGTAAAAGTTCAAGTTACTGGTCATTAAAATCATTTAAAACATTATTAAGTGATATGCCACCTCTTCAGGGGGACGGTCGGTCAGGAGTCAGAAGAAAATCTTAAATTTAAGCATAGGCTAGAACTTAAATAAAATTAAAGGTCTTTGTTAGTAGAATACAATGCCGCTAAACCCGAACTCCAACAGAAAACAGAGTCCAGAATGACAGCTGTTCAAATATTCATTTAAGCCCACCCGCTAACAGTCGGAAGAACTCATAAACGTAAGCATATGTCGATAAGCACATCAAACTAAAGGTCTTTATTAGTAGGAAGCAATTAGTGCAGTAGAAATAGTGTTTGAGGTGGAACTAATTGCAACATAAATTATTCCAGTTAGAAATGGTAGGTAATACACTTATAAAAAACATACTAAAAATATACATTTGTACTGTTACGCAAAATACGGTTTTTTGGCCACCATTTAAAAAAGTGTAAAATTTTTTATTATTGTTAAAAAATCTGGCTTGGTATCAAATTATAGAACATCTCATGCTGGAAAAGAATATAATGGTTGAATTTAAAATATACTGTTAACAGTGATGCACTATGGGCGAAAAAAGGTGCGTTTAAAAACGTGGCATTTGAGATTTTTTTTTTATATGTTATTTTATACTTTCAAAATTTGTTTTTTTCATTTTTGACCCTTAAAACGTAAAATTTCCCAATTTCTCTCTAGACCTTTTTAAAGAGCTTAAAAAACAAATAGTTAAATCAAAGGGTTTTTGTACGATTATTGGTAACGGGGAAAATTCAAAAAATTGGAAATTTAAAATCCCCATGTTATTCTTATGGAGAATATGGTCAAAAGTTGTAGTTTCCTTGTTTATGGATATATTTTGAAAAAACTTTGCAGATTTATTTATTTTATACTAAACAATTAATATTTTACTAAAAACGCATTTAATTAGTTTCCTTGTAGCGGCAAACCTTGGTACTCGTTTCGTTAAAACTAATGTTATTTATTTAATAGACTAGCAACAGAGCCCATTGTGGTTAAATACAACGGTATCTAGTTAAATAATGGTTATGAAATCCATACACCACTTTGCTCACTAATATTTGGTACAGATTAAGCTCATGACATTAGAATCACACACTTAACATAAGAAACACATTTAAAACACAAATGCAAATTGTTAACGACAAGATTTAATCAAAGAAAATTCAATTAAATAACGATATAAAAATAAGCTGTTAAATTATTAACTCATTTTTCGTATGATTAGATTATGCATACTGGTAAATCAATTATTGTCATCTCTAAAAATAATTGTTTTTTCTTTTCCGAGTCGGGTTAGCTCTTCTACCAGACCGATTTTCATAATTAGCGAATTTCCCATATAGGGAATAAGCTATTACCGTAGTACTCATGGTAAGACCTGGACCCGGGACCGATTAATTTTTTCGTTTTGAGGTCCCTAGATGCCAAAAACACCATCAGTTCAAATTCATATATATATATATATATTTATATATATATTTATATATATATTTATATATATATATATGTCCGTTAGCGCGATAACTCGAGCAAAAATGATCCGATTTTGATGAAATTTGGTACAAACGTGTAAACCTACATTTATTCGAACGAGTTCGCGAACCAGCATGATCGGACTATGGGAACAGGGGTTTATGGGGGGTATTATGGGGTAAAAATAGGGTTTTCCTATTTTTGACCCTAAAAACACAAAATTTTACAATTTCTTTTCACACCATTTTGTAGAGCATAAAAAAACAAATAATTTAGTATATTGAAGCGTTATTGTGCGCCTAAAGGTTACGGAGAAAATTCCAAAAAACTGTAAATTTAAAATCCCCATGTTATTCTTATGGAGAATAAGTCAACTGTTGTAGTTTGCTTGTTTATGAACATATTTTGATCGAATTTGGAAAATACATTAATTTCTTACCAAACTATTAACATAAAAAAAAACAGTTTTACCCTCCCTGTTGCAGCAAACCTAAGTACTCGTTAAACTAATTCTATTTAAATAGGGAATAAATATGATATTTTTAAGGAGGCATTTTAGTGTAAATCCTATCAGGCTAATGGAAATTCGCTTAGTCTGCAGGTTTGCTGCGGCGGGGGTATTTTGGCCTTAAGCCGGGTTTACACTATGTAGCTAAACCTGCTACATAGTAGATTTGTGTAACATCTAGCAATGTTATATAACATTTGCTAGAAGTAGAAAAAGTAACTTTACAAAAGTGCTATATAACACTGCTATATGTAGCATATCCTGCTATATATAGTTAAAATTGTGCTATCCATCGGGAGTCGGTAAATATATAAAGAAATACGTGCTACATCTAACATTGCCATATGTAGCAATGATATACATATATTTTTCGTCTAGCATCTGCTATATGTAGCATTTAGTGCACACAGTTCACAGTTGTAGCCTCCTGGGTGCGAACGGTTTTGCTCAGCGATCTTTGTTTACAATAGAAGGACTGGAAACGGAAAGTGACAGTGCCTAGGATCGGGATTATATTATAAACTTAATTGAACTGTTCCGTGGACAACCGGCGTTGTGATCATACGTAAAACGTTTTTAAAGTTACCGTCGCCTTATTTGGCGTTTTAATTATGGATTGTCAGCGTATTAGTCATCATTAATGTCCCGTAATAAATCTGCTACACTGTACTTATTTCTCGAGAAGCGGTCAAACCTAAAACTTGCTAAAATCTTCGCTCCCGTCTGTCTCTCTCTCTCTCTCTCTGACTTCCAAGATCACCACGATAGCTGCCACGAACAATGTCTCTTCAGCGCACATTTCGATACGGAATGCGAATGAGGTTGTGCTACATATAACATATATCACGAGCACCAGAATCACTAAAATTGTTTGTAAATTTTTCATACAGCAAAAGTTATAAAGCAATGTTATATAGCAAAAGTTATATAGCAGGTTTTGCTACATAGTGTAAATCCGGCTTTAAACTTAAGCTATGGACGCACCATAGATTTGCTATTATAAGCATCAGCACTCATTTTGACGCATATTTTGAGTTATGCACAATCTGCATCCCTGTACATTACTTACGGGAGTTAAATTTGTTTTTTTTCGAGTTCGTTTGGCTCTTCTACCGGACCGATTTTCATAATTTTGGTATCAAAGCTATGCAAGCACATATTTGTCATCATTCATCTATCAAATATATTACCCTACGAAAACAATTAAACTGGATTTTTTCAATTTTTACTTCAATTAAAAATGTATTCCAGCAGTTACATTATCCTATATGTTTTTATCTAAAAATCTTCAGTGAAATACCAGATTCCATTGGAATTATTGATTATTGAAATCGGACGTACCTAAAGCACACTGCTAAACCATAAACGACCCAAATTGTTTAAAAATGGAGTTATCTATCATCGATTTATAGTTAAAAAGATCTTGCTTGTAACCTCAACAGTACCTAGGCTAATTGTCGACGTTGGCGGGTTTCACCTAGCAAATCTTAAATAATCAAACTAAAATTATTTGAAAATCTACACGCATTGCTTTCCAATGACCCATTAGTTAATAAAATCGGTCAAGTAGAACTCTAGATTTAGTTGTACAACAATTTTTAAAACTGAATTACTAGATTTAATTGAAAATCAATTAAGACAAATGGAAATTGGTTTAGTCTGCAGGTTTGCTGTGGTGGGGGTATTTTGTACTACGATCGTATTTCTAAATAGTGATTATAACCACTATTATAACATTTTTCAGCATTGAATTTCCTATAATTTGATACCCAAAAAGTAATTTTTACGAATATTAAAATTTTGACACTTTTTTCAAGATGGCGGCCAAAAAACGTATTTTGCGCCACAGTACGGATGTATATTTTTAGTATGCTGATTAGAAGCATACTACCTACCATTCACAGCAAAAATCATTTCTGTTGCAATTAGTTCCACCTTAAGCTATATTTTCGATTATTTCTACTGTACTAAATACTGCAAATTTTAGCTCAAAAGGACAACTGAGTAAAAATGGCAGTGGTTTAAAGATTCAAAATGACAGATTCAAGAAATCTATGAACGGCTGCTATTTTCGACTCTGTCCGTTTGATTTCAATTTTGCGGCATTGTATTCTACTAGTAAAGGCCTTTAACTTGGTGTACATATGAACTGCTAAGATTAAAAATTTTCTTCTCACTCCTAGTGGGACGTCCTCCTGTATCACTGAATAATGCGTTGAAATTATTTTAATGTCCAGTATTTTTTACCCAGTTTTGAAGCTCTACATTGATTACTGTTTTTAATTTCAACTATCCTGGGCAGTTGAAATTAACCTGAAACCATTGAAATTAACCACCTTGTATAATATATAGTGTATACAAAGTTGGTACTACAAAGCATGTGCACACTTCATGTAAGTAGTCACACTTTAATGCTCGCCACAGGGTCACTTAGTCATGATTACATTAGTTGACTGTACCGCAGATACCACATGCCCACACATGCCCACACATGACCACACACTGACCACACGGACCACACTGTAAGCCTCCCAATGAAACACCAAACGTATAAGCATAGTAGGGGGCGATTGAGTTTACTGTGTTGGCAGGATGTTTGAATTTTTATACCATAGGGTAACATCTGAAATCGCTTATTTAGTTGTGTACAAAGCACTAAAAATACCGTTAGTTATAGACAACATGTGTATAGATAAATAATATTAGTGGTTTGGGGTGTATTTTATACTTTCAATAATCTGACTCTACTAAATAAAAAAAATGACATTAGATTTCTTAAATGCAATACCATGCAAAATGTTCTAAGTTTAACATTGTGAAAAGGGGAGCTAGCTGGTCTAGTAGTAGAGCAAAGGGCTTCGTTTCCCGAGGTCCCAGACTCAAGTCCCGCCAAACACTAATGAATTGTATGTAATAAATTGATAATGCCGCGTCCCTCTATGTCTAGCCAGAAGTAATGTGTAAAATAGTTCTGGGGCAGAGCATAGCGTCTTGGGATAAAAGGGTGGAACATAAAATTATAAAATGTAGTAAAACAAATTACCAGCTACAACATGTTTGACGACTCTTGTGGCCTACAGTGAATCACGTACAGTAAACCGATTTCAATTTCAGATTTAAGCTGATTTGTGCATTAGTTACACACTATGATATTTATTGGTTTTGTAATTGGTCAGTTTTAAATGCTAATTTTTCGTTTACGATTTTAACTTGTTTGTGGCTTGGAATTTGTTATGTTTTATGTATTCCCAATTTTTTTACTTTATTATATGAGATTTGAGTGTTATTTGTACCCAAAAAGTTCTTAACAATTCCTGGTGAAGTATATGTTTTGTCTGTAGGTATTACTGTAAAGTTGATTGATTAAATTGTGTATCGGTTAGGTTCTACCAAGTAATTGAAATGATATTTTATGAGTACTTTGCATACTTTGAATATAACTATTTATATATTGTTTATATTAAGATACAACCTAATGGAGACTACTGCAATATATTATTTGTGATATAAAATATTACCTGTTGAACCAATCGTCCGTGTACCGTGGGTAGGGGTAGGGATCATTGCTGCTGAAGTCGTAGCTGGCTCGAGCATTCTGGAATATAGTGCAAAACATACTATAAACGCATTCAGATTATAACGACCTTAGCAGTGTTGAGTTATAAATAAAAATAAAAAATACAAACCATTGAAAAAAGTTTGTTTATAAATACAGATTAATGATCTATATTATACAAAAGTTTTTTTTGTGAAGATTGCCTTCAAACAAATTACAGTATTATGGTTATCGTTTCATAAATTATGAGTCATTTTAATTAGATATAATCTGCAATATTTGCAACTTAATTAATTACGTTTGTACTCCCACATAACTTTTAACAACAAAATAATCTAACAACTATGACGTTGTAAAAACCCATACACAATTATTTTATGCACACGACCTAAAACAACACAATGTTTTTCATGCCATTTTTTTTATTCTAATTCATAGTTTTAACCACCTAAACATGATAATTGTTATATATTTTTCTAAATATGAAGAGTGGTATACAGGACCATTGTATACTGTACTTACATAGTTGTGTTTCAAGTCCGGGTGCATATAGTCCACACCTGCAACCGATACAAACGGTTCCGTAATATCGATTTTACCTTCAGGCAAAGCTGTTCAATGGTAATTACTATGGCTTTGCTCCAGACGTGTGTCAATAACAAAACAATATTAGTTTTAGTAGTTATTTCCCTTTTAGTATGTACAACAAAATTCTTACTATAAACGTTGTATAACAAATAATACAATTCCAACAAGCTTTTAAACTGAAAACAATGTCATACTTTATGTGCATGAAATCTGTAATATATACTACAGCAATATTTCTGCATTGAATACACAATTCCTATTACTATGTTATATGATTTAACGACACTTTTTTTAAGCTCAAAACTCGAATGTTTTTTACATGTGTAATTTTTAAACAACTGTTTTGCTCATTTACGAGTATATTTTCGTTATCTACTAACAAATGTATAAAAGAATCTTACATAAGTGCTATGACATTTCAACGTTCAACATTATTAAAAGCAATGATCTTTGGCAATGGAACTAAGAAACCTAATTTTTTATAAAAAAAATTAATACACTTTGCCTACAAATTTCACAGTAGTCTGGCCTCAATTAAATATTCTATAAAAGCACTTAGTCAAAACAACCATATGTGAAATACTGAAAAAACTATTTTAAATAGGAAAATTCTAAAACAATAATTTTTGTAAGAAACCATTTTTAAGGCTGTTTACTCGTGTGCATCTGTTTAAAATGTATATAACATATTTAACAAATTTCAATAAATTTTGTAATAATAGTTTCTGATCTATTCAGCTTACACAGCACATTTTATGTGTTTGATACAAAATGAATTTTAATGTACGGCATTGCAAAGGTAAGTTGCTACATACCGTCATCCATGATGGCGGTAGTGACGTTCTTGCCGGTGACTCCCTGGGCCCAGGCAGCCTCCACGTTCAGGTCCAACTTGGCCTTGCCTCCGTTCTGTCCCGTGTTCTTCAAGTACCATTGGAAGGGAAAGTACGGGTCTGTGGGGTCTCGCTGGGGTCTCATGTAGGGTACGAGGTTCTCCACCTTGAGAGGGTTATAACCTCGCTTTACCCTCTTGAACCCGGTCATCTGGACGGCTGAGTGAACCTGGCAAAATCAACGAGTATAATCTTACTACCTGAACTTACTACCATATTGTAATCTTAAATGTGGTGTTTTTCATTGTGGTTTATCAGTACAAATCAAAAAGTGTGTTTAACTAGTATTAGAATAGTGTGTTTAAATAGAGAACTTAAAGAGTCCGAGACAGATTATTAAACACATATATTCGCCAGACAACCTAACATCATAAACCAGCTGTCTACACGGTTGTTGGTTATGGACGTGAAATGTTTCGTGTTACGAGTGTCCAACAAATTGCATCTCCATCACATCAAACTCTGACTGTATTTTCCGCACATTATCATTGGCCTGTTCTTGTAACGCAACTGGTTGACTTCATCCTCGGCTTACAAATCGAGGTTTCACTATAATATGTAAACGTAAGGCGGTTAAAAGAACATTTGAACAGCAGTTGAATAACCTTTACATACATAGTGATGTTGTGTTGTATATTAATCAAACTGTTTTAAGTTTCATATTAATACTACACCCAAAACAACACTTCGGTTTGGAGAGAAATGTATTAAAAAAACACTACTGAAAATAAAAAAAAACGTTACATTAAAAAGTTTGTGGCTTTTTATTCGAAGATTCTGGAGATAGATTTTCACGATTTCTGTTAAATGAAAGATAATTTTGAGGGGAAGGAGATGTTGATTTCATTATGTATACGTTTTTGTGTCTGTGATATAGGAAATGATTTTAATTTTTTAAGTCAAACAGCCAATGTTAACATGTATGTTAATTTCAGTGCAATATAATTTAGCTTAACAAACAGATGAATTCCTATCTGCAAAGTGTCACTGAAATCTTAACGTTTCAAGTTGTTCAAAAAAAACATTGATGGTTGATATATATTTCATGAGCAAACTACATGTAGTTTTTTCCTACCGTAAAAGATTATTTCTGTGTTACGAAATGTTCAACTTTGAACTATATATCAAAATAATTTTCATCTAAGCCTAATCAAGTTTTGTCGTGAATAAAATTAGTGTTACTATAACTTTATGCTAAGAATATTTGAGCTCATGTCAGAAAAGTGTTATCCTCTGACCTAAATAAAAATGTAAACCTGTGAAGTTTACGATATTGATCTAAAAAAAAACTAAGTGGTTGCCAAGAGCAACCAAGAACAATCTATACCATACCATAACTAGTGCTACCGTATGGTTCAGGATTCTAGTCAATTAAAAAAAAAACTTATGTGTTTGATTATAGTGCTGTTAAAATATATGACTCAGTTCAAGATAAGGAACATTGGAGGATACCAACAGAGCTTAGAAAAAATATTATATAAACAACCAGATATAGTCACGGCCAAAAAGCCTATGTTGGAAATTGAGTTGTTTATACAGGGTTAGTAAAAAGTGTGGAGACCCCCTGTTATTTTTTTAACGGCCCATACATGAAAAACTAAACTCGGCACACCTTTATGACATGCTATGAATTACTTTTTGGGCATAACTGTCACTTGGTGTACATCCCGAAAATGGGGGATTTTGGGGGAAACTCAAAAATTTCAAATACAAAGACCCTTAAAGCAACCCCTCATTTTGAAGGTCCTGGTAAAAGAAAACCAACAACGCAAACTAGAGGTCTTTATCTCAATCCCGTAAAAAATGGCAGCCAATTGAAATTCTTAGAAGTTAAATTTAACTTACAGCTTTCCAAGTCTGGAGACCCGCTGTAAATTTTGTAGCAGCTCACACTAGGATAACTAAACTCTACACACCTTTTTGGCATGTTATGAAGTACTTTTTAAGCCTAATAGCCACTTGCTTACCAAACCCAAAATGGGGGATTTTGGGGGAAACTCAAAAGTTTTAAACGATAAGCCCCATTGAGTGACTCCTCATTTTGAAGGACCTGGTAAAAGAAAAGTAACAACGAAAACTAGAGGTTTCTATCTCAATCCAGTAAAAAATGGAAGTTGATTGAAATCTTTATAAATCAGAAATAACTTTGCAATTCAATTGGCTGCCATATTTTACTGTGTTAAGATATAGATCTATAGTTTGCGTTGTTCGTTTTATTTTATTATGACCTTCAAAATGAGGGGTCACTCGATGGGGCTTATCGTTTAAAACTTTTGAGTTTCCCCCAAAATCCCCCATTTTGGGTTTGGGAACTTATGAGAATTTCAATTGGCTGCCATTTTGTACTGAACTGAGATAGAGACCTCTAATTTGCGTTGTTGGTTTTTTTTTTACCAAGACCTTCAAAATGAGGGGTCACTCGATGGGTCTTTGTATTTGAAACTTTTTAGTTTCCCCCAAAATCCCCCATTTTGGGGATGAACACCAAGTGGCGGTTATGCCCAAAAAGTACTTCATAACATGCCATAATGGTGTGCCGAGTTTAGTTTTTCTAGTATGGGCCGTTAAAAAAATAACAGGGGGTCTCCACACTTTTACTAACCCTGTATAGTACACATTCAAGATCAATCAACATCAGATATCATAATTGGTTAGTCTTTGTTTTTTTATTAACAGATGTTTTATATTTTTAATCTATTTAAAAACAATAAGAAGAGTGGCAGTAAGGGGTTTAAGTTAAAAGGAACACAACAATTTTGTTAAAGAGCAATATGTTTAAATATTTGTTAATGTATCAGAAATAAATCTGTTAATGATTCATTAATATTGTAAAGGTTCTTATTATTTCACACGAGTTCTAACAGCTAATATGGGCCAAAGAAGATAATTTGATCATTAAATTTGTATCTCAAAGACCAAGAATGAGATAGAAAGACCACGTATGCCTAATGAAAAACATTATAGTAGAGGTAGGTAATAGAAAAGAATCTAGGTGACTTTTGACAAGGCCGAAAACCTTTGAGGGTTTTAGTGGTCAGAGTGGTAAAGGTGAGGTAATAGTGTCTAATGGAATGTGGTGTGTAGCTATTTATAACCAGTGTGGATATTATCCTCCATCACTTAAAAATGTTTCCTACAGACGAGAGGAGCTGCTGTCTTATTGTAAACTCCTTGAATTTGTTAAAAATAGGTTGCCACGAGACGTTATGTTTTACTAGGGTATTTAATTTTAAATGTGAAAATAAGCCTTTATGTAGGTTTATATGTGTATAACTTTTTTGCCTGCAGCTTTAGAAAATTCTGGATTTTTTGTATAACCGAGTGATTATAGGGCGCACTTTTACATTTGAAGTTCGATTTTAAGTGAGGCCGTCACCAGAACATGATGCTATTTTCAACTAATTAAGTTATAATTATAATATCTTACAAAAGATCGTCGTTTGATGGTAACAAGACCAGGGGTTGAAGTGGTCGGACCGTCTATCTCCAATAAGAACGTTAAGAATTCGCAATAGCGTAGATAAATACAAAATTGTAAGCCCACTGTTCTGAATCAGAAACCATATATAACCGTTTCAACCAAATACTTGATTCCCGTGCGTACAACAGACCCACAACTAGTATACGTGTATTTGCAGAGAAAAGAATATCATTTCAGTTTTATTTTAAAATGCAAATAAACTACAATAGTAAATAAATGAAACACTGAAGTAAATAATGGGGGAATGGCACTGACACATATGGTTATTGGTCATTTCTTAAAAATACAAAAATAGGTCATGTTTAGAATCACAACATAATACAACACAACCAAGTAGCAACTTGCTGCACAACTAACCTATCAAATGTTGTATTTTTAAATTACTTATGAAAGATAAAATTAAAAGCATTAACTTTTACTTTCCAATGAAAATTAATTTCGCTCTCCAAACAAGAAATGTTCTTCAATAGCTTGGATTTTTACTAATAATTAAAAGCCCCGAAAGGTTGGGTAAAATTGTCACGACAGAAGATAATTATTTCTTTCCCTGGTGGAGAGAATCAATTACTGAAAGGAAGACCGTACAATGTTGGTTGAGATGATTGGATTTTAGAAAGCCCTCATTTTAATTTGATCCAACCTTACTTACTTATAACTGAAATAATAGACTTTGCGAGGATATGCTGGTGCAAAACAAATTATTTGCTGTAAGAAACTTTGTTCAACAGTTAAGCGAGAAATGTCGTAGGTCGCTATTGCTTAAACTCTGTTAAGCGCTACTATTGTTATAACTTTAAGCTGGACCAAGTTGCCACAAACTGCCATCAAGCTTTATTATCGGGTATCAATCGTATTAGTTTGTTGAGAAACATTCTACGGCAACTCTAATGAACACGCCGAGTAGTTTATAGTCCGCAGAGTTTAAAGTTGTACTTTACTGTGATTAGCAAAGTTATAAATCCACGTACCTAATGCTTTCAAAGTTATCAAATGCATGTATATTACCTCGTATTTATTTATTAATTTGATAGTTTATAACAGCATGTAAGCGGTTGGTCTTACCAGGGGGTCGACCTTCAGACGTCGTGTATGGGGAATGCTGCGCTTGCTGCGGGCGTGAGGCAGAGCAGCGTGTGCGAAGTGGAACTCACTCTTGGACCCCAACACCTGCAAATTCAACCATTAAGTTTTACTAGAAAATATAGTGATTGTTACATGTCATCAAATGATGAATAAATAAAAATATGCTTTGTTTCGAAGTGAAAATATTTGTTTGGATAAAAAATGTCTCTTTAAGCATTTGTCCTTCTCAAGAACAATAATAAAAAATGTACCCTCGAGTTTGGTAAAGAATACAATATGAAACGTAAATTTTAGGTTAATTACAGTAACTACAGTATGACTAAATATATTTCTAAAGCCATAAGTGATATCATATTTAGCTTACTGTCAATTAAGAGACTGAAATATTACATATATCTGTTATGATTACATATATCTGATATGTTTAAATATATCTGATATGTTTAAATATATCTGATATGTTTAAATATATCTGATATGTTTTAATATATCTGAAATAAGAAAGAATACATATTAGATAAGAAAGAAAGCAGGTCAGAAACCTCAACATCCATACAAAAACTAACCGTTGAGCGAGAGAAGAAAAATTAGGCGATGATCACTGCAGTGCTTGGAGGGAAGGTGATATTGAGAGAAGAGAGGAGATATTTCTAACTTTGATATTAGGTTTAAGAAATCGTTTAAATTTTAATTCCTACAACCAAGGAGTTATTGGTAAACTATTAGAAAAAAAAATTGTTGAATGAATTATTCATATTTTGTCAATGAATAGTTATGGATTCCACTTAGTAATTTTCTTACAAATTCTCAACTCTTTTACTAACAAAAATTATTCAGGGCTATTTTTAGTTGTAATATAATGAATGATAAATAAAATGTATCCATTTTGAGTTGAATTTAAACTGTGTTCGACATTGGTGTTAAAATTAAGCGTTGGGGTTAAACAATGAAGAATATTTTATATTTTGTTTAGGGAGAAACGTTAGAGCTGAAATAGTTAAAACAGTAACGTTTCTAAATACGTTAAATAAGCTTAGCACATATTAAGACTCTTTTGTTTAAGTGAGAAAACCCACGAAGAAAGAATTATTGCAGGGCTTCAGGGCTTGTTGTTAACTCATTATCACCAAGTAGAGTACTTTAAGGAAACATTACTTCAAGTTTGCCATGAACAATGTGTTCATAGTGTACGTGGTGAGTGGGAACAAGTGGTTAAAAGTATTTATATAAAAAAATGTTCATTAGACACATACAAAAATCAAAATCTCTCTGTGTTTGTGCATTGTGGGTTTAATCTAGAACAGAATCTAGAAGTTATTTACCTAAAACACGTTCATCAGACTAATATTATTTTTACAAATTTTTGTGTACATGACTGACAAACACCAATTGCGTAGTGAAGTAGTAACGCAGTATTAGATTATATAGGTAATAATTGTGATTTGTGAGTGAGTATATAGATTAATTCCATATTAGAAAAATAATTCAGCTATAGCTATAGCTAGCTGACAACAAATATTATACCTTTATAATAATGCAGCGATGAGACAAATATTTATTTACAATCACGTAAAAAGGTGCATGAAACAGAACGTGCATTTCAGTTTGACCTTTTGTTACAGGTCATTTTCCTTTTCAATTTTGCGGAAACCTTATTGACAAAATTTATTATGTTGCTTGAAATAATCAAAGATTTCGTAGCCACATTATCATCACGCCACAGTCCTGGCATTTTACCTTGGTTAATATTAATTTGAATATTACATCCATATGCCGTTTCTACTAATAAAATGCTGTAACACACTTTTTTACTAGACTACTAATACTGCCCTAACTGAGATTATTTACAACTGAGGTAAAACGGGCGAAATGTACACGTATCTCTAGACTAAACTTTGCTAATGTCTTTAATAATTTTTTTTACATCATTTAGTATGCCATCAGATAAGAAAGGCAAGCCAAATCATATAAAGCCCATTCCTGATTCCCTTTTTCTTAAGCCAACAAACAAGACCGAAGTAGAAAAGATCATAAAAGAAATGAAAAATAAACGGTCGGCTGGAACAGATGAATTGTCACCAAACCTGTTAAAAGAAGTTGCAGACCTCGTATCTAACCCTCTAGCTAACTTAATCAATGCCTCCTTTGAATGTGGCCAGTTCCCAGATGCCCTGAAAACGTCCATTATCAAGCCACTCCATAAAAAAGGAGATCGCCACCTCTGCGACAACTACAGACCTATAGCCATAACATCATCTATATCTAAGGTATTTGAAAAGATAATACTACTAAGACTATTAGAATGTTTTACAAAAAATAATATTATTTCAGAGAAGCAATTTGGGTTCACAAAAAATAAAACCACCACAGACGCAATGACTGACCTTATCTCAAATTTAGTAAATTCATTGGATGCAGGGGAACATACAATGGGCTTTTTTTCGATCTGAGCAAAGCCTTTGATATGGTGGATCACGCATTGCTTCTTGATAAGCTTTCTTGTCTTGGAGTGCGAGGGCTGGCACTGCAATGGTTTAAGTCATTCATTACAGGACGGAAGCAGTTTGTGATGATTCAGGCGGTGGATGACTTAGGATATCTGAATACCTACCGCTTATCTGAATACCTACCGCTCACCCCATTGCGAGTCTGCTCGTGGCGTGCCTCAGTCCTCGGTCCGGTGTTGTTCCTTGTCTTTGTGAATGATCTTCCATCAATTGTAAATTCTGGAAACATTTGTCTGTTTGCTGATGACACGTCGCTCTCGGTTTCTGATCAAAATTTCGATGAACTCGAAATAAAGGCCTTTTTGCAAGCGAGCTCCATGATGCAGTGGTTCGAGGACAACTCATTGAGTCTAAATGCCAGAAAAACTGAATTTGTAAATTTTTCTATAAGTTCAGCTGGGAAAAACAAATACAATTTCCTTCTGAATGATGTTGAGCTCGAGGCAACTGATCAGGTTAAGTTCTTGGGATTGGTGCTCGATAGAAACCTGCGCTTTCATTCCCATATTGACACTGTGTGCAGAAGGATTTCTTCGGGAATCTTTCTTCTCCGCCAACTTCCTAAGTTTGCAAAATGTGATGTTCTAATTACAGCATATTATGGAGTGATTTTCCCGCACCTGATATACGCAGTGCCGGTGTGGGAGTGTGAGTGTGGGAAAACGTCTTTCCTTTTCCGACTCCAGAAGAGGGCAGTTAGGGCAGTCTTTGGTTTGAAAAGAAGAACATCTTGCAGGCCATTTTTTTTTAAGAGGCCTTTATTTCATCACATATTTTAACATTTCCCTCAATATACATTTTGGAAACTTTGATTCTCATTAAAAAAAAACTTACACCAATACCAATCTTCACTTACACATTCCTATTCGCTACGTAACAATTTTCATCTTAAATTACCATCTCATTCAACTACATTTTTCAAGAGACACTTTCATTACAATGGCATTAAACTTTTTAATCTCCTCCCTCCCTCCCTTCAGCTGGTTGTGTCCATTTTGCGGTCGTCCATTTACCGGTCAAGGGTAAAATCGTCCATTTACCGGTCAACCCAAAAATCTGGAGGGGTGGGTCAAAAATAGTTTTCCATTTTGCGGTCACATATTTCTAAAATCCCGAGAACACGAGAGCCAGGTTGATGACTCAGTGGTTAGCCAGGCCGATGACGCGTCGGTAGATTGTATACCAATGCACCAATAGTATGTGACCAAACTATGCAATAAACTTATTCAAATCATGAGTAGTACTGTAGGTATGTGTATTTGAACATTTGGTACTTATGGATTAAACGGAGGCCACATTTTGTCAGCGCGCTGCAGCGGTTATGTTAGGTTGGGTTATCGTAAATATTATGTGTGTAGGACTTTCCTCGCTTCGTTATGAATCGAACGATACCAGACGAGTTATACTTTCTATTATGATAACCCAACCTAACATAACCGCCGCAGCGCGCTGACAAAATGTGGCCTCCGTTTAATCCATAAGTACCGAACATTTTTCTTAAAGAGAAATAAAATAAGTTTTAATCCTTTAAAATAATGATTTACCAACAGGGTGCAGCAGTATTATTTTTTCATTAATGAAAACATCTAATTTGAACCAAGCAGCAACAAAAAATTGATACGCAATGAGAACTGACAAAGTATGATTTTTTAAAGTGATGTTTATGTTTTAGTTTTAGGAATAATTTCTGATATTTTGCAACTCTTAAATATTTTTTCCCTCTATTGTTTAGGTGAAGTGGTTGAACATTATGGTTATGGTAGGTGTGTAATTAATACTATAATATACCGTAAATTTAAAGACGCAAATTGTATTAAACTTTGTCCTCCATTGAAAACGCAAAGCTTGAGCATAACTGCAATAAGCATTTTATACTCATATGCCAATCCCGTACGATGGATGGGTACTCTGCTAGTAAATAATAAATAATAGTTTTTATAGAAATGATTAAGACCATTCAATAGGAAATTTAATTTACTTTAAGTATTTAATTTACTAGTAAGTAGAACATTTACAAACCAAAGGTTATGAACTTGTAACCAGCATGCCACAGTTTTCAAAGGTAAAGAGTTGTTTATGTAAATAGATGTTTTTAAAATTGTATTTTTTTATTTGATTTTTTTAACTGATGTATATACAGTCTACTTGTTTGTATATAGACTAGTTTGTTGAAGTAAACGGCCATTTATAATATCATCAGACATGATTTGTGAATTAAGAAGAATCTGTCTGTTAAACAGGATACAGGATTAAAAAATTTTTTTAAGTCAAAACAATCGTAGAAAGGGTCGTATCTTTACTCAGAGTGTTAAATAGATTTAGGCATATATTAGCTGAGAATGTAAAATCACAAATGGTTAGATGTCTGGTAATACCAATAATAAATTATGCTTTGCCTGCCTATGGGTTTTCTTTGTCAGCAGAAAATTTGAATTTGATCACATATCAAATATCAGAAAGAAAGGTGAAATGTTACTAGTACAGGTTGTTTGCGTCCTTGAAACTATTGCCATAGTACATAAAGTGGTCAAAACCAACAGACCCTCTTACTTCAAAGATAAACTAACCACTCGAAAA